TGCAGAAAGTTTCTTGGCATATCAGTTCATGCACTGAATCAATTATGGAAGTTTTGAAGTGTTTTAAAAGCATTAGAAATGATAAATGTTTAAAAATTATTTGAATATTTCTAATGAAATTTGTAAAGTTGAAACAGAACTCGATTTAGCTATGAAGGAGAAGAAGATATTCAATTTACTTCAAAAGAAAATTTTCAAATAAACTTTTTATTATGTAATACTAGATATTTCATCTCTTACCACCCGTTTTGAAACTTTGTCAAATTTCGAACAATGTTTTGGCTTTCTCTACAAATTTATTGATATGAAAAATTAAGAAATAAAAAAAAGTTGTTTCGATCTTCATAATAAATTTAAAGATGGTGAATCCTGTGATATTAATGGCGCGGAATTTTATGAAGAAATAATTTCTTCAAAAATAATCGTTAAAGACAAAAAGCAGCCCGAAGAACTCCTAAATTTTTTATATAAATACAATTTGGAGACGTTTTTTTCCAAATGTCGCCGCGAGTTTAAAACTTTTTCTAACAATTCCAGTTTCCTTCGCTTCAGGAGTGCAAAGTTTCTCAAAACTGAAAATAATTAAAAGTTACCTGAGGACATCCATGACACAAGAACATCTCAGTAATTGTTCACTTATTGCAATAGGAAGTGGCATTGCTAATTCGTTAGATATTCAAGAAGCGATTGAACAATTTGCTTCCATAAAATCGCGTCGGGTTATTTTTTAATTTCATTGTAGTACGTATATGTTAATGTTACATGTAATTTTTGTAAATATAAATTAAAAAATTTTATATTTTTAATTTTTTCTTTGATATTTGTTACCTCGAACGGCGGCCATATGAAAGGTGCTTTCATATATATATATATATATTATATATATATAATATATATTTATATATATATATATATTAATATAGTATATATATATATATATATATATATATATTATATATATATATATATATATTTATTTATATATAATATATATATATAGTATATATTATATATATATATATTATATATATATATATATATATATATTATATATATATATATATATATATATATATATAATATATATATATATATTTATTTTTTATATATAATATATATATAATTAACAAAATACACATTAATCTAATGTGCTTGTGTTAGCTATGCGGATAATTTCTATTGTGAAATCAAGATTATAATTTATAGTTTTGTTTTTAATATAAATACACTGCTATTTGTTTTGTTTGATAGGATATTTTTAAATCAATTAGCTAAATAAATTGTTAAGATTTTATATCCTACAGTTGAAAGGATATTGGCCTCTAATTGCTTATTTTGTTTTTGCTTTCATTTTTCAAAAGTTAATGTTATAAATCTTCTTTGAGACGTTTTTATCTCGTTGGGAACAATTGATTGTTTAGAGTTTCAGTTAATTCTTTTTTATTATTTTGAAAAAACACTTAAAGTATTTATTTAATAGTCGATGATAGTATTCAATTGATAGTCGGATAAAACCTGATGGTTTTATTATTTCTTTTATACAAATTTGTTTGTTTAATTTTGAATTAAGAAATTTCTTTAGAGGCATAGAAGCTGCTGGGGTATTTGCGTTCTTTAAAAGCACATTGTTTTTTAAATGCACAAGCAATGTCATTCAAATTTAGTTCTTTTAAGAGCTAATAACGAAATTATCTTTTTCAAATAAAATTTCAACTTTTTGTCAAACGTTACAAAAGTTATGGTATCTTTTCCAAAAAGCGTTCTAATGTGCCTCCTTTTCGACGACTCTGTGTTTCTTAAAATTAATTTCTTAAATATTAAATGGAATTTCCATTTATTGTTTTTATTTATTATATCTAACGGAGACACTTAATGATTTTATATTGATTTTAATTTTCGCAGTTTAATATACATGTTCAATTAGAATTTAATTTCTTCATATTTTTATAGCGTTTCAAATAATTTTTATAACAAGTTTAATTTACTTTACACTTTTTAAAGCATACATAAGAGCTCTATAAAAAGGTTGTGGTGACTATAGTCATCCATATACTCTTTGAGCCCCTGTCTGTTTGTATAAATCCTCTATTTTATAAAAACTTTTTTTTGGCGGCGCGAAAAAGGGCTTTTGGGGCAAATTGGGGAATTACAGATTTTTTTTTATATTGAGTCATAAATCTGTAAGGCAACGCCCTCCAACGCAACCACCACACATACACACATTTGGCTCCGACACGATCCGGCCCTCTCTGTCTCTCTCTCTCCCTCTATATATATTATATATATATATATAGAGGGAGATCCGGCCCTCTATATATATATATATAGAGGGCCGAATCTTAACTCAGACATTCGCTAAGTCGGACAAAATATATATACCCGTTCAGAGTCCGAGTTAACGAGATTCTACTCTACACGGTGCATAGGAAGATGCTCTGAGACTTTTGAACACATCCCCAGAAATTTTTTTTTTGTTTATTATCAGAAGTCTCTTCCTTATTTCAAAAATGTAAAAAACAACTTTTTTCACCTAGGGAGAAATCACGTATTTTAGGTGAGTGCCTAGTAATTTTGTTGTTCAAGATAGGTAACTAAGAGCTATGTGGCATAATCAAATTTTTTGTATGTTAATACTGGTATCAATTGAGGATGAATTGCAAAAATGTTAGGTAATTGGAGCTAACCCAACCCCGTCCCAATCCCGTATTGTCCCCTTCCTAGAACTACGTCTACTAAGCTAATAACATTTTTTTTTTAATTCTGTCATAAATTAGGTTAAAATTTATTAACAAATTTCAATTTTCATCAAAAAATATCTTTTTATTTAAGATTTATGACCATAAGAAGTTCAAAATTCCACAAATTTACCCCCTGAAATAACTTTGAATGGTCGTAACTTTTAAACTAGATATTGTTTTTTGATGAAATTTAAAATCTGTCAATGAATGGGCTGTGTTCTCTAAATTTTCTCATTCGCCTAAACTGATTGAAATCCTGGTGAATGGATTCCACAGCTTGTTCGGTCCAGTAACCTAAGCGTACAGAATATAAAATGCATAAAATAAGTTTTAGTCTATTTAATGAATAATCGTCATAGTTTATGCAAGTTTAAACTTGCATAAACTGCTGTATTATTGTAATAATAAGTATTTAATTACTTTTATTATAATTAAATAATATTAGTTTAATCTTTTGTCAAACTTAAAATTTATTTATCATACCGAAGGCTGCACCTTTAATATCGATGAATTTGATAATATGTTACTCGACTATGTGTACTTTCAAAGGAATTGTAGCCCTAGATTTCTATAACTCACAGACAACTGCTATATATCTTTGACATAAGTAGAGCTTAATGATTTTCCAGAACAGCAATGGACTACTTTTTCAAAATCTCTAAGTACCTTAATGTGTTTGAATAAGAGATCTCCAAGACTAAACTCCTGAAAAAACATCTCAAATCTGTCTATGTTTTTAAGCAACTTATTGCAAACATTGCCTTCTTAACAATGCGGCCCTTGGTAGGATACTCTTCAGATGTTAATTATAGACAAATATCGGTTGACAAGCTGTTACCCACACTCCTTGTTTTCAAACAAAATGTTTTCAATTTCTTTTAAAATTTTGTCTATAACACCTAAAAGTATATGTAGACTGGGAATATTAACAAGCTCTATTATTTTATTATTTTTTTTCCCTGTTAATAAAACGGGTTGAACAACATTTGTGAACATTTTTTTAATTTTTAATTTTGCACCATCAGATATCCATTGATCAAAATGATCAGCTTTTTGAAAGCTGATCATTTTGAAAGCCATAAAGTAGTTGTAGTTAACCCTATTGGATCCCTAATACCCCACCCCTAGTGTATGGTTCCCTAATACAATTTTTCAATTTTTTTGTGTTCTATTAACCTAGATCAAAATTCATCGACAAATTTTATATTTCATTAAAAAACAATATCTAGTTTAAAAGTTACGACCATTCAAAGTTATTTCATAGGGTAAATTTGTGGAATATTGAACTTCTTGTGGTCATAAATCTTAAACGAAAAGATATTTTTTGATAAAAATTAAAATTTGTTATAAATTTTGGCCTAATTTATGATAGAATTAAAAAAAAAATTTTTAGCTTAGGAGACGTAGTTCTAGGAAGGGGACAATACGGGGTTGGGACGGGGTTGGGTTAGCTTCAACTACCTAACATTTTTGCAATTCATCCTCAATTGATACCAGTATTAATAGGTACGCGGAAATCCGTGTTTTACGGAACCGAATTTTGTACTAAAATTTTGTGCCAGGTTTTTTGAACTTTTTTTTAGGTAACGTCAGGCGAACGTTTTTTTGTGACGTTTCTGTTTAGAAACATTACTAAACTTAGATTATTTTTGAAAAAAAAGAATAGTTAAACTTGATTAATATATAAACATTTATGTGTGGTTGGTAATTTTTGTATTGCGTTTATTTGTATTAAAAACTTGGTTGTTGTTCTCACATTAAATTATTGTCAAAGAAATGCTCAGATAGTTTGCAAACCTACCCAGATAGTTTTTTTACATATATTTTTTATCTACCTACCAAATTTCATTGAAAAATATTATTGAGCAGATAGTCTATAAAAGTGAGCAGTTTTGGTACCTCATTTCTGTTTTTCTGATTTCCGTAAGTGGGTGGTAAGAGGGGTATAAACAAGTTGAATTTTATTTGGTTTAGATATAGATAAATTATATATATATATATATAATATATATATATATATATATATATATATATATATATATATATATATATATATATATATACTATATATATATATAATATATATATAATTATATATATATATATTAATACAATTAGATATAGACTGCCGAATAAGATGTTTTTTTCTTTTTCTTATTTTTTCAGTAGTTTATTAGATTTTTTTATATTAATTAATATTAGTTTGTATATTTTAACTAGTTTATTTTATTTTAAAAGTGAAAATTACTATTTATTTTGTAGTGTGACTTGTTTATAGTTTCTAAAATTTTTATTGGTTTCATTGAAATTGAAAACATAAGCGTTGATTACTATAATTCTAGCTATAGGTTATAATGGTATTTTAAAAACTCTTTATATTATCACATGTTTTATGATGTCAGTATACATTAGCATTTTTTTCTGTGTGTATAAATAGTAATTTTTTAATTACGCAATAATACAGTATTATTAAAAATGTTTTTAATAATAAAAGTATAATATTGTTTATAATTTAATGTTATATCATTATTCGGTAGTTATTTCAAGACTTTCTTTACATTTTTTTTTGTAGATAAAGTTGCTTTTTGTGCCCCGGCAATAGGGCACAATAAGCAACTTTAATTTTTGTTCTTAGTACAGTTAAAGAGTATTTAAATACACACTTCTTTATTATCTGCCAAAACTTTGCAGTTGTTGTAAAAATAGATATGTATCTTTTTTATTCATTAACAGTCATTTGTTATAACTATTAATTTAGTTTAAACATTTGTAAACCTCATTTTCTTTAGGGTTTTGAAAAGATGCAAAAGTTGGTTTTGCAACTTTACAAGGGATAGTTGTTGTTTTAAGGAATTTTGTAATGAACCCTGTATATGCATTGCACAAATTTTGCCCATCTTTCTATCATCATGTCCCTCCAAGTAGTTCTCTAACTACTGTTTTAAGTAGTTTAGATAATTCACCACTTGAGCACATAAGTTATTTATCACCACTAAATCACAAGCCTTTATTTTCCAAACATTCTGTTAACAATGAATAGGCATGAATCAAGAGGAGAAATAAGCCCTAGAAAAAAAAGGTTTTGAATACCAGATTGTCCTATTTTACTTCTCAGCTTGCTGTTACATCCAGCAAGTATTGAAATAAATTAGTAATAGTGACGGCAAAATTAAAAAAGCATGGCATACAAGTTGAAAGTACTGAGACAAAAATTACATAAAAGAAACAAATTGCTAAAGTTTTAAGAG